TCCGGTTGTTTGCTTGCTTGCTTGCTTTTTGTTTGTTAGTTTGCTTGTTTATTTGTTTGTTGGCTTGCTTGCTTGTCCGATCATCCGTTTGCATGTTTCATTTATTTTTTCAATCTTTTCTTTTCTTCATGGAGTACATTTGCACTTCACCTTTACCTTTCAAATTTTCAGGCATATCGAATGTTGCCACTCACGTCCATAAATCGGCCGAGGGGCCAGCTTAAACCGCCAGTACACGGCCCCAGCCTTGTTGAAAATGCGACTCCTCGCCTGCGAAAATTTTGGAGGCTCGGCCTACTGGACCACAATGGCTGGCAGCACCAGCCAAAAAACAAAGAAAGTGCGCCGCTGGCGGTTCGAGAGAAAGCTTGGCGCGCAGTGAGGCCCCTCTAGGCCCGGTGTACTGGTGGTTTAAGGCACCACAGCAGACAGCGGCAAGAACAGATCCTCTACCTTCTTGTGCATGCAGCAAGATCAGGCACGCCATTAGAGATGGACACTCGATGACCAGAAGAGAGAGAGGAAGAGAGAGAGGAAGAGAGAGAGGAAGAGAGAGAGGAAGAGAGAGAGAGAGAGGAAGGGGGGGGGGGGATTACCGGAATGATGCTGGTTAAAAACTAAAACTAAAATTAAAAAGAAAGCAGGAGAGGACAAGAAAGACAAACACTAGGAGAAGACAATCAAGTGTACCCTTGACAGCAACAGTCCGAGTGAAAGAAGCAGTTGCAGCTGTCACAGTATACTGGAGCTACATCAAGTAAGGGCACAGGAAGGAGAGAGGAGGACAAGTAACCAGGGACTGGATCCTGGGAGTGGAGTACAACAACAAGGATTTGGCAAACTTTACCTGTGCTGCTAATAGTTACTATGGCAAGTTACCTCAGCAATAGCAACACCAATAGCAACAACCGCAGCAACAGCAGCACCAACAACAGCAGCATCAAGTCCTTCAGGACATCCGTTAAAAATTGGAACGTTAAACCACAAGTACATGGCCCCCGCATTGCAGTCTGAAACTTGTCGCCACAAGAAAACGAGGCCGACGCTGGGCTTGCCGTTGATAAATTGGATAGGCGGTCGGGTTTTCGTTTCACGCTTCCAGAATTTGAGGTGTCAGGCCCGCGGCCCAGGTGGCCATGTACTGGTGCTTTAAACCACCAGTACACCCGGGCCTGCAGGTGTCTTACTGTGCACCAAGCATTTTTTTCTTTTTTGGGTGGCACCACCAGCCACTGCGGTCCAGTAGGCCGAGCCTCCAAAATTTCCGTAGGTGACGAGTTTCTTTTTCAGCAAGCCTATGATTAGCATAGCCCCTGCCCTTTTTTTTGTGGGGGGGGGGGGGAAGGGGAAACAACAAAAAAGAAAAAAAAAACAGAAGCATTAATAAGCAACAAAGGAACCAACAACAACATAATTCCGAGGATCCTTTTCCCGCCCGAGGTGCATCTGTGAAGCGCACCAAAAAAGAAAAACAACGAAAGCAGCACAGCATACTGTTTTTCCGCTTTGGTTGGTAGCACCAGCCTGAAACAGTTTTCACCTTTGCAGAGGCAGATGCAGATCCCAGGGTTTGATTCCCAGACCTTTCCTCACCCATGTACAGTATCGAGCTGACCCCTGAGTATTTGAACCCGTAAACTGCGTATTCGCAAACCGTTGG